AGCCTTGAGGCACGCCCATTTGTACCATCGATCCGGAAGAACTCATATTGTTAATGATAACTTTTTGCGTTCTCTTACTTAAATATGAAATAATTAATTTAAGAGCATCACTTCTAACACGTTCTGGCTTCGCCTATGTGAGATCTGGCGGTAGAATGAGGCGTTATTTAGGCTTAAGATAATCATTAAAGAGCATTTATGTTATCTTATCAATATTTCGTTTTTAATAAAGTCGGTAATTTTATTGGATAAAGTTTCGTCTAAATCACTTCCGGTATTACTGTCTATTTGTTTGTGAAGTTTTATTACAATTGATTCAGCCATTCCGAAGATTAGCTCGGACAGACAAACAAACGAAAACTTAAAGAAAAGAAAAGAAAAAAAATCATGTCTCAATAGCATGTAAATATTTTATACAAAAATAATAACAAACAAAATCAGCAATAATTTTTTAAAAAAGTTCTCAGAACGCGTCGGTAGCTCACAAATTAACAAAACTGGACTGATATATCTTGTAGTTTATGGCATTTTGTTGTCTTTGATTCCAATGATAAGTTGGACTGAAGTTATAGAACGCACGAAAAACGCATACATTGCAACGTATTTTTGCAGTCTTTACCGGTGGGTGTGAGTATAGAATAGAATAGAATAGAATGATTTTTATTCAATATGGATTATTACATAATACTTATTGAAAGTCATTATTTTATTTACCACTGGTTCGGAAAATACCTCTGTCCTGGGAAGAACCAGCAAGAAACCCAGCGGGACTTTTTTTTTTAAACATAATTTCACTTAACAATAATTTTGATTATACAATTTTAAATGAATTTTCATAGAACCAGCATGGTGGCGATCACCTTATTCCCAGGGGTTATTTTCACTCATGTATTCCTTGATATTATAATAACCCTTTTTGTACAGTTTTTCTTTAATAAAACTTTTAAACTTGTTTATTGACAAACTTTGAACATGTTCTGGTATTCTGTTGTAAAAGCGTATACATTGCCCCATAAATGAATTACTAATTCTGTGGAGTCTTGTAAGTGGCATTACAAGCTTATGTTTGTTCCTAGTGTTTAAGGTATGAACATCCTTATTCTTATTAAAGCTATTTATGTTTTTATGTACATACATTACATTTTCATAAATATATTGCGATGCCAAAGTTAATATGTTTATTTCTTTAAATTTTTCTCTAAGGGACTCTTTACAATTTAGATTATAAATCGCCCGTACGGCTCTCTTTTGCAAAACAAATATAGCTTCAATATCAGTCGCATTACCCCATAGCAAAATTCCATAAGACATTACGCTATGAAAGTAACTAAAATACACTAACCTAGCTGTCTCAACATCTGTGAGACTTCTAATCTTTCTTACAGCATATGCTGCAGAACTAAGTCTGCTTGCTAATTTAGATATATGGGGGACCCATTGAAGTTTCGCGTCAATAGTAATACCGAGAAAAACAGTGGTATCCACAAGACTCAACTCCTCCCCATTTAAGAGCACATTGGTTTTCGAATGTTTTACATTAGGTATTGTAAATTTAATACATTTTGTCTTATTGCCGTTTAAGAGCAAATTGTTGGCGTTAAACCAATGTACTAGTTTCGATAGAGCATTATTTACATCGTCATATTTAATTGACTGCCGTTTCAGTTTGAAAATTAAAGAGGTATCGTCAGCAAATAATACTATATCGTGATTGTCCCCTACAAGATAAGGTAAGTCATTAATATAGATTAAGAACAGGAATGGGCCAAGAATCGAGCCCTGAGGAACGCCCATTGATACTACCGATCCGGAGGAACATTTACCATTAATGACGACTTTTTGAGTTCTGTTACTTAAATATGAAGTAATAAGTTTAAGCGCCAAATTTTTTACACCGTAATGTTGTAGTTTCCTGATTAATGTATCATGATGAACACAATCGAAAGCCTTGGAAAGGTCACAGAAAATACCTAAGGCATCTTGTGAATTCTCCCAGGCATTAAAAATATATTTCATAAGCTCAACACCGGCGTCAGACGTCGAGCGACCCCTTGTAAAACCAAATTGATTTTTATGAAGTAATTTATTTGTATTAAAAAAAATTAACAATTGATCCAAAATTATTTTTTCAAAAATTTTACTGAGAGTTGGTAGTACAGAAATAGGTCTATAATTAGCGGGGTCCAATGTACTACCAGATTTAAATAAAGGTATTACTTTACTATACTTCATTAAATCAGGAAACACACCAGAATCGATACAAGTATTAAAAATAATAGCAAGATGAGGTGCAATTAAATCTATTATGGACGTAATCACTGTAACGGAAATCCCCCACAAATCTGCGGTTTTCTTTACATCAATGGTTTTGAAGTATTTTACAATATTATGCGGTAATACTTTTTCAAATCTAAATTCTTTTAAACAGGTATTAACATTCTGTTTAAGTAATGATTCGGCGACAGTTGGAGAAGCATTCAATGACTCTGTTGTCAAGATAGGAACATCAGTGAAATATTTCTCAAACACCGCTGCAACTTCTTGATTTGATTTAGTCAATTCATTATTAATTTTTAATTGATAGTTTGAATTACGAGGTTTCTCATTACCGGTTTCGCTGTTAATTATACTCCACGTCATTTTAATTTTATTCTTAGCTGCCTTAATTTTGTTACTAATATGTAATGATTTGGCTGTGGAGCAAACTCTTTTAAACATTTTAGAATAATTTTTTACATATTCTTTAAAAGCATCGGAAAGATTATACGATCTTTCATGGTAAAGGTCATATAACCTTCGTCTGCTTTTATAAATTCCTACTGTCGCCCACTCATTAAATGCCTTGCGACTGTTTCTGGAGAATGTTTTAGAAGTGAATGTTTTATTAAATTCATTGTTTATAAAGGTAAATAATTCTCTATATAAATAGTCTGCATTGTTCTTATAAGAAAGGGATGGAAGGATTTTTAACATATTACTTCTAAATCTCTCCAGGCGTTTTGCATTAATAGGAACAAACACAATTTTCTCATTTACCTGTTTTTTGTGCATATAAGGTAACGAAACCAGTTGTCCACAGTGATCTGAACTAAGTTTTTGAATTATTGATTTGTTGATTGGTACAACACCTGTAAAAATATTATCAATACAAGTTGCACTACACCCTGCAATACGTGTAGCTTCAAAGAATAAATTATTAAGATTATAGGATTTGAACAAAGAACAGAATTTAATACTGATGGAAGAAGTTTCCAGGAGATTGATATTAAAGTCTCCTATAAATAGAGGCAGTGAGAGATGAATAGAGACGACGCCATTTTCAATTCCATTCTTTAACCGCACGCGTAGTAAATAAGTATGTAGCGAGCTAACTGCTACAAACATAACAAATGCGCAATATTCTCAGAACGCGTCGGTAGCTCACAAATTAACAAAACTGGACTGATATATCTTGTAGTTTATGGCATTTTGTTGTCTTTGATTCCAATGACAAGTTGGACTGAAGTTATAAAACGCACGAAAAACGCATAGATTGCAACGTATTTTTGCAGTCTTTACCGGTGGGTGTGAGTATAAATCGAGTAATAACTATTAAGTATAAATAGAGAATAAACTATTATTTAGAACTAATTTCTCAGTTAACTGACATTGTGAAACAAAAAATTACCTCAGTCACATCTAGCGACATCTGTTGAGTGGAAGATTATTAGCCCTCATTGGAAATGTATCTTAGCACTATAATAGAAGAAACATTTCCCAACGCCGATAGTTAATCGGTCAAATAGATCTTTCCGTAAACCTAAAGTCGCCACCACGCGTGCAAGACCGCGCGCGCGAATGAGAGCATACGAGAGCATGTGAACGAGAGAGTCTGTGAGTATGAAGACTATTACATACATACTGTTATTACTCCGACTGAGTGTGATGACCTGACCAGGTCGATTACTGCCGCTCGTCGCTAATCTGAGTATTTATGTGGCCGTTCGTTTGTCACTTTAGTAATATGAATTTTTCCTTATCCTCTTACGATGGATACTTATTGTTATACATCATTATCGTTTTCTGCATATCATATTTTTTACATTTAATATAATGTACATAATGATTAATAATTATAGAGCGTAAAATTAATGTATGTTGAGTTTTACTAGCGAAATATTTATTTATTTCATCTGATAGTAATCGCTTTTAATTGAATTGAATTTTATTCATTGACGGCATAATATTATTTTATTTCAAAGTAGTTGTTCCATCCATGAAATAAATACAAAAAAGGTATGAAATCCCCTGATATTAAATCTGTCAAATATTTCATCTCATTCCTAAGTGGCGCAGTCTGTTGGCAGACAATTTTGTGCATTTTAATACGCTACTTCGTTACCTATTAACAGATTGCACAGTTAAAATTTAGTTTTCTGCTGGATGATTTAATAAAAAGGCTTATGTTGACATGGTTTCCAGACTGTTTTAGTTTTTTTAGACGTGTTCTCCCGGCAGTGAGAATATTTTCGTGGTCGTTAATGTGGTATTTCCATTTATACGAATGATATTTTTTTTTATCTTGTAGTGGCAGTTAATTTTTAATTTTTGTTGGAATTAAAGCATTTTCGAACTTAAATTTTGTATAGTAGGTATAATAATCGTGTGAATGCGTCTTATGAGAATCCATCACCGCCTTTCGTCCCGTGATATTGTAAAATATGCGATTATCGACAATAGATGAATAAGATTTTATTTATATTTTAGGATTATATTACATATAGAAAGGATTACAATCACTTGATACCGAGATAAATATTATGAAGACATGGCTTAAAGAACAAGCATCCAAGCCAAAAATTTTAATTCATAAATAAAATAAAAACATTGTCGTTTGTCGTCAATCGTCAAATGTCAACAAAATAACCATGTGAGGAATATATAAAACAATAATAACAATTATAATTACTACAGGCATTATAGTTCCGTTTTTACAAAATATTGTCTACAGAATAATAACAATGTCTCATATATCATACCCATTTAAAAAAACTAACAAATCTGTGTACCAAAAGCCGGCGTCCGTCCTTACAGAAGACAACATTTATTGGAAGAAATTAGGGGTAACATTTATTTGAATACGGTTTTTTTTTTAATATATAGCTGTCTTCTTAAAAGCGTATTGCTTTTTCAGCAACCCGTTTTGGTTAAAGAATTTGGCGCCATCGACTATTTGGATTTCAGTCCTGTGGAACCGTATTATTTTGCTGCAACATGCTCTGTCAGAATACAGGTAAATCAAAGCAGGCTAAACATACATAGGTAGCTTTTATACTCACCTAATCTCTTTTTTATATTAAAGTCACAAACGAGCCTACATTCAACTTTGACAAAGTAAATCCACATTGCATCTATGTTGGTTGCATCGAAAATGAGTCAGCTTGACTGGAGAAAGATCACAGTGTCACAGAACACCAGTGTTAAGTAGTATAAGCCCCACAAATTGGTAATGTGCTGGAACCTCACATTAACATCCACGTGACATCATCGGCAATTAAAAAGGACGGTGAACAAAAAAGTTTTAAATTTATACTAATATTATTGATGTGAAAGTAACTCGCTTTCACATTTAGGTATTTCTTTAGTAATCTGCGGCATGAATATATGGTCGCCGAGTGGGTGAGGGAGGAGGGGGGGGGGGGGGTTGTAGAGTCACCACCCACTTCCATTTACTGCCGGACGTGCTAAGTTTTTTATTATAAATTTTTAAAAATCTCATTTTGAGGTTATGTTTTCGTAATGTTTTTGACAATATAAACCTGATTTGTGGGGGGAGAGAGTTGGGGGAGGGTAGCTCAACGCTACTCCACGTGGTGCAGTTGTGGGAGGCTTGGTGGACGGAGCCCCGCAAAGCGGGGCTCCTATTTCTGGATGGTTTATAAAAAAATAACCATAAAGGGGATGGAGGGGTCTGTTCGCTCGCTTCTCTCTCTCACTCGACCCCCACCATCCCCTGCTAACCTAACCTGTCCAAGTCGGGGTGCCCCAAATCCCAAGCTCGCTTCGCTCGCTCTAGCACCAAATAAAACACCAAAATGTAAACTTTTATAATTACTATAATAAATAAACATATTTTATTATTTCCACCTACCATTGCCAACTGTCAGCTGTCTGCTGGCTCAAGTTGCCGTCAAAATCTCTCAAGGTCTGCACAATGTGAGGCATCAACATATTGTAAAGCAGTGAAATTCTATATATTCAAAATAAAAAAGACAAGGCTGTATGGCATAGTTCCTTTGCCTGCTCTCTCGAGCGAATAATAAAAACAACAACAACAAAAGTTCAGTTTCAAGTATTAATTAGTGATTTATAAATATTTTTAGAAAATAATTTTAAATTTTTCGACGCAGCTGAATTGCACTTGAGATAAGCCCCCTTGACATCCCTACAGTGACAGACTCTCTAATAATTATATTGTTGTTTCGTTTTCGTATCATTTTTAAATGGATATAACCTCAAAACTATAATTATCGATATCTCGAAAACTAAAGATTTCTGGCATAAAAAGCAGCTAGATGGTAATCAATAACATCATTGCCTATCACCTAAAGCTAAATTGATTACTTAAATCGTGCCGCAGATTACTAAAGCCGACCCCACATTTAAACCACTGAACTGATTTTAACATACATGGTTCCGACAGTACACAGGTAGTGATAGTAATTAATAAAATCAGGCATTACTTTGTGGAAATCCATTATAATGGAATTGTTATAAACTAATTTGTTCAATTCCACATAAAGAAAGAAAATGATGTGTTCTGCCCAGTTTTAAGGGGCCAATTTTATAACAACCCCATTAGTGATAGTAATGCCGATAAGCTACAAATAAAATCAAAAAAATTGGATTGATCAACAAATGCATTTTTCAGGGATCAAGTTACATTATGAAGTAGTAGCTTAGTGTCCTTCTCTTTTACAAAATAATTCTCCACTTTAATTATAATTTCATGAGCATGGCTATTATTTATTTTTCTACTCATTTTAACATAAATATGATAAAAATAACAAACAACAACAAAACTTAACAATAATAAACAGAACAAAATAATTAGAAAAAATAACAATAAAAATGTGCATGTTCACAATTCAATACTCATACTCACGGGCCAGTGTTGCTAGTGGTACTGAGTGTTCATTGTTATGAGATTACATCACCAAAATGGCATCTAGGCAATTTGCAGGGCTTATACCTTAATGCTGCTGTTTCTTATGGCTATTGAAGAAAACTGGAGACCCTTATTACTGGTGACTAGATATTCCATCATAGTCCTTGGAGATGATAACACATCAACATTTTGAGTCTATTGAGGATAGATGTAGGTTTCTATAGACCAATGCAACTACTTACTATGAGATGTACTCTGTTTGTCACCCTTATTCTATAAAAAACAACCTAATGGTTAATATTAGTGACTTCATCTACAACCAACTTTCTACTTTGAAGGCCACAGATGTATTGAAACACCTGATGCAAGGATGAAAAGATAAAATGTGTTACAGTACTAATTTTTAGAGAACTAAGCAACAAAAGCTGTGCTTTTTAAAAGCAGGGATTGAAAACGGGTCCAAAATACCAGTATTTAGGGGTTTCGGTACCTATACCGGAACAGGAACCAGAACCTAAATTAGAACCTTTAAGAACCTTTATATTACCGGTTCCTAAGCAAAGCGAAAGCGAATCCAAACTTGTTTGATGTGCGGTCGGGATGCGCCGCGCGGCGGAGTGTGAGGAGAGGAGAGTTTGTAAAATATCACATTTGTATTGGTGTATCTTCTGTTGTATATCAACGCAGTGTTGCCAACTCTACTGATTTTTCTATAGATATACGGAAATTTGTCATCATCTACAGAACTACGGAATTTGATGTTGCAATCTACGGAATTTTTATAAACTTAACAAGATTTTTTATATCATGAGTGTGAACTTGCCGACAATGTCATTTTCTCTCTCTTCTTCTAACGTTGTCGGTATTAAATTATATTTAATAATTAATTCTATGCTATCTGTATTAAAATAAAACCATTTTTACTCATAAATATGAAATTTTTGTGATGTTAATCGATTTCAAATGTTAATAGCTTAGATATTTTGAATTAATCTGATCAATAATAATCAGATCTGTCTGTTCAGTTGCCTGTATGTTGTCAAATCTGCTGAAGACTGCAGCTTCATATCCCGTCTAACAGCCATGAGATTAAGGCTGTGATCGGAGAGTTTTTGTGTTCTTCTGCGGCGGGTCTTGCTAAACTTAGCTCCGACCGCATGGACAGTTTCCACGAGCTTGTCATTCATATCGTCCACTGCATTGCAATCTTCTAGGCACTGAAAACGGTTTCGTAGCTCGAGCTGAAAGATTTCGGGACTGTGGATTAGAGCACGAGGAGGATGGAGCGTTGAGTTCATTAGACGTGTCCTAACTTAAACTGTGCTCTGCTGTGTAAACTTCAGTGTGCCTCTCACCATTCGGTGATCGCTGCCGGTTTTCACCCTCGCGATCACTAAGACATCACTGAACAGTTGTCGTCTGGTCGTCATGGGTTCCGTTGCCCCATTCCAAATTTCCCTACTTTCAGCTCACCGTTGTCTCTTGTGCCTAGTTTTGCGTTGAAGTTTCCGATTAATACTGTATAGTGGGTTTTGGAGGAATGCGTGGCTCTAGAGATATCCTCATACATTTCCTCCACCTCCTCATCGGGGTGTACCGAGGTTGGTGCGTAAACCTGTATGACCTTCAGCGAATACTGTTTGGTGATTCTGAGTATAAGGTACGCGACCCTCGTCGACACACTCCCAATCTTTACAACGTTGGTAACGAGAGACTTGTGGACGATAAATCCGACACCTCCTTGGGACAGATGGTCGCCCTCCCGGTGATAGAACAAGTTGCCGGATTCGAGGATTACCGTGTCCTCCGCCTCTCTTCGGACCTCGGATAGTCCTATAATATTCCAGTGCAACTTGTCTATCTCTTCTTCCAGCTCCAGGATCTCGTCAGTCCTCAGGGTGCGTGCGTTATAAGTTGCCAGGTCGAGTCGTCGTAGGTGACAACCGAACCTCCATCGGAGATTCTTAGCACCCTCTCCTCTGCCGTTACCGTGGTCGCCACCGTAGCCAGGAATAGCGGGGCCGCCGGGGCTGGGGGCCGTCTCTTAGTAACTTTATTCATTTTGGGGGGTATATCGCCATAGTTGCCACGCTTCGCGAGCGGGTTGGCAACCGCAGTTTTTTATTGTGATATTGCTGTTATCAGGAAAATGCTGCTGCCCGTCTTACTGTATCCCACTGTCGCCTCTTACGACACCCACGGGAAGATATGGGGTAGTGGATATTCTTAACCGCCACTACACGGCTGTAGTTTTTCATTGTTACATAAATTACCCGAGTCTGAAACACCGTAATATATCAAATAAACTAACTGTTACGGCCCGCAGCTGCCCTTGCAAAGATTCAATATCCGGGGCCCATGAGCGGAAGGTTCAACGGGCAGCCGCGGGTTCGAGCCCGAATGGCTATATGAAAATGTCCTATCATAATAAACTATATAGGAGAATGCTAGAAACACATAGTACGTACCAGTATCAGAAGCTAACTTCGCACCAAGGCTCGGTCAGGCCGTGAGTGGGTGTAAGGTGAGTGGCAAGTAGTGTTCAGTGATGTGTAAATGTCTGAGACCTTGACCAACTTAGGCGACTAGCAGCGGCCGAGTTCCAGGATGCCCCACAATGCTGCATCGCTCCAGCAGGCTCCACCGCTGGACCATTTCTTTCTTCATTGTCACTATTTCAGTCTATCAGCTTCATTGTACATTTAACTAACTTAAACTCGCCTAATTTCACATTCATCGTAGAATCGAACACGTGATACCCGACACAGTAAGGACAGTAGTTCGAAATTCGACATTCAATGTCCCGGATTCACTTATCACAAAATTACAAATAGCGAACTAAAGCGATCTCTTAATGAGTTATACGGTTCAGCGTTAAACGCAACTAAGTTCCTTCATTCGACACCAAAACACCACGTCGCGAAAAGAATTCAAAATACGCCTTGTTGACACGTAAACTAACGAACCAACCAACACACAAAGGGCACTTAACGCGACGGCACAATTATAAGGATTTCCATACAATCAGCCGAGAGACGCTCTCGACCAAGGAATGCGCGGTTCGAATTCTGGACCGTATATCTACGCGGCGCGCTCGTGCACTATTCCGCATCACCCGAACAAGTTAAATATTGCAAAATTCACATATCCACGTAGAGAAGTACACGCCTAAATCTAACTATCTGGACCCTACACGGTCGCGTGCCTTCGGCCGCGATGACCTAGATACGCGGCTTCACCGCCTCGCGGCCAGCGAACTACTCTCCACTCTTCGCCCACGCGTCGAGCCGCTGCCAGCCGCACACGGCCGCCCCATCTCGGCGTATACCTCACCTACATACCATCGGGTGAGGCGCCAGCTCGAACGCAATTGGATGGCGTTCAAAATTACCAAATTTGGGCACAAACACTAACAAAACCATAAAATAAAATCCATGCTAATAAGTCGTTATAATCAAGTTTGTAACGTATTATTTTAGTATAAGGATTCACAAATATTAAAGTGTTTATAGTTACTTTATTTGTTTTTTACTAAAAATTATTTGATTAAACGAAAACAATTAATTTTAATCAATTTTTTTATGGTACTCTTTCTTTTTCTTTAATCTTTTTCTTACATGTGCAGCTTGATTCTATGTTATACTACAATTAAACTTACAACAAGAATTTTCCATGACAGAATAAATTTATCAACAAGTTCAAAAACAAATATTGTCGATCCTCAACGGAACGGATATTTTGAAATAGCATCTACGGAATTGTACAGAATTTTTATACCATCTACAGATCTACGGATTGGAGAAATTTGATTATAGGTTCTCGGAACCGGTATTTAGAACCGGTACATTGGAACCCGAACCGGAACCGATACCGGAACTGGAACCGTACCGAAAAGAGGAACTTTTATAAGAACCAAAATGAAGAACCAGAACCAAAATTGGTACCGGTTTTAAATCCCTGTTTAAAAATGAAGAAAGGATTAAGTAGGGGATAAATATCAATATTAAAGAAGTTCCCAGTATTTTTATTTTGGCTTTATAGTCTACTGTAACTAATTATTCTTATCAGCCAATGTCTAATGTTGGACATGGGCCTCTCATGTTGCTGGAAGGATTTTCTCAACTCCATATCAAATCAAGCTTGGCAGACAGATTAACACAGTAATGGAAGTTAGGCACAAAAAAAATATCTTGATAATATAATTAATCATAGCATCAAATATAATTAATTATACTATCAACATATTGCATGCCTTAAGCGCAACGCACGTGGGTATGTTCTACTAGCACCTAAAAATCAAGATTCCTACGTTTTGTCGCATGAAATTGTATCTAACAATCATATTGAACATATAAATAATATAAAAAGCACATTGGCAGAAAGATAAATGATTATTGAACTTAATATATTTTTTTAAATGATCAATTGCTTGTACGTGGTAGAGCCATGCTGCAGCTATATTATGGTTGTAGCACGAATGGGTCGGCTCGACCGGGGAAGGACCACGCTCTCACAGAATACCAGCGTCAAATACCAGCTTAACGCTGCTGTGTTTCGTATGGTGAGTGTAGAGAACCGGAGACCCTTTTTACTGGAAACGATGCATTCCATCTTAGTCCTCACGGGTGACAACGAATCTGCTTTTTTATTCGTAATCGAAGATAGATGTAGATGTCTATGGGCCACAGCAACCACTTACCATCAGGTGGACTGTGTGCTCGTTTGTTACCCTTATCCTATAAAAAAATATTGCTATTTTTACATAAAAAAAAGCATTTTTAATGGCATAAAATTTATCAAGACCGCATGGCAGCGTAAACATGATAACTTTTAAAAAATCAATTGTTCAACTCAATCAATTTCTTAAACTCTTCTTCTATCATCTGGGAAGCCATGGAATGTAAATGGCAGTTTAATTTGGTTTTGTTTAGTTATAACTAATTTTTTTCAGCTGAGAAATAGCGAAATTTTCGGTATTTTGAGCAGCTTTGTATTAATTTATATTACTAAATACATTTTGCCTCACTCCTGACCACAGTACTTTTTAGGGTTCCGTAGCCAAATGGCGAAAAACGGAACCCTTATGGATTCGTCATGTCTGTCTGTCTTTCCGTCCGTATGTCACAGCCACTTTTTTCCAATACTATAAGAACTATGCTGTTGAAACTTGGTAAGTAGATGTATTCTGTGAACCGCATTAAGATTTTCACACAAAAAAATAGAAAAAAAGTAATAAATTTTGGGGTTTCCCCATACTTAGAACTGAAAGTCAAAAACTTTTTTCCATCAAACCCATACATGTGGGGTATCTGTGAATAGGTCTTCAAAAATGATATCGAGGTTTCTTATACCATTTTTTTCTAAACTGAATAGTTTGCGCTAGATACACTTCCAAAGTGGTAAAATGTGTGTGTGTCCCCCTCCCCCCTGTAACTTCTAAAATAAGAGAATGATAAAACTAAAAAAAATATATGATGTACACTACCATGTAAACTTCCACCGAAAATTGGTTTGAACGAGATCTAGTAAGTAGTTTTTCTTTAAATGTCATAAATCGTAAATTATGTTACTTGCTGCTACGGAACCCTTCATGGGCGAGTCCGACTCGCACTTGGCCGCTTATTTACTTCAGGCTCAGACGCCGTTATGAGTTAAAAAGGAAGTTTTAAAGGAAAAAAAAATAGTCTTATATTTGATTACTATTAAATCGCTCTCACTCTCTTATTACATTTTTCATTTATGCCCGCCTGTTAATGGTACTCGTATCCTAATTATTTTGCAATTATTAAACTATATTATAGAGTATAATATAGTTTATTTGCAAAATGAGTATATTTAATTTATAATAGATGTAATATGTTTATAATAGATGTATAATATTCCCATGTAGTGGCGGGTAAGAATAACCACTACCCTATATCTTCCCGTGGGTGTCGCAAGAGGCGACAGATGGAAACTGAGACAGAAGATGGGCAGCAGCATCTTTCTGATAACACAGCAAAGCAAATATACAAAAAACTGCGGTTGCCAACCCGCCCGCCAAGCGTGGCAACTATAGAAATATACCCCCATTATTAAAGTTACGAAGAGACGGCCCCCAGTCCCTGGCGGCCCCGCTATTCCGGGCTACGGTGGGGACCATGGTAACGGGGAGGCAGGGGGTACTAATAATCTCCGGTGGAGGTTCGGTTGCCACCTAAGACGACTCGACCTGGCAACATATAACGCACGCACCCTGAGGACTGACTAGAAGAACCTGGAGCTGGAAGAAGAGATAAAGAAGTTGCGCTGGAATATTATAGGATTATCTGAGGGCCGAAGGGAAAGGGAGGACATGGTAATCCTCGAATCCGGCAACTTGTTCTATCACCGGGAGGGCGACCATCTGTCCGAAGGAGGTGTCGGATTTATCGTCCACAAGTCTCTCGTTAACAACGTTGTAAAGATTGAGAGTGTGTCGACGAGGGTTGCGTACCTTATACTCAGAATCACCAAACGGTATTCGCTGAAGGTTATACAGGTTTACGCACTAACCTCGGCACCTCCCAATGAGGAGGTTGAGGAAATGTATGAGGATATATCTAGAGCCATGCATTCCTCCAAAACCCACTATACGGTGTTAATGGGAGACTTCAACGCAAAACTAGGCACAAGAGAGAACGGTGAGCTGAAAGTAGGGAAACTAGTAAAAGGGTAACGGACTCGAGGGTCCAGCAGTTGGTCGAATTCATGGAGAAAGAGGGACTCTTTATGATGAACTCTTTCTTCCAGAAGCGGCCCCACAGAAAGTCGAGCCCAGACGGTTCGACAAAAAATGAGATTGACTTCATTATGACGGCCAGACGACAACAGTGGTCGCGAGGGTGAAAACCGGCAGCGATCACCGAATAGTGAAAGGCTCACTGAACCTAAACGTTAAGTTGGAGAGGTCACGTCTAATGAGGTCAACAGTTCGTCCCCCTCGTGCTCTAATTCAAAGTCCCAAAACCTTTCAGCTCGACCTACGAAACCGTTTTCAGTGCCTAGAAGATTGCAATGTAGTGGACGATATGAATGGAGCTAATTCTTGCAAGATCCGCCGCAGAAAAACGCAAAAACTCCGATCACACTCTTAATCTCATCGCTGTTAGACGGGAAATGAAGCTGCAGTCTTCAGTAGATTTGACAGCATACATGCAACTGAACAGACAGATCTACAAATGTATGTGGCGGGACTCACGCAACTTTATTACAGCTCGTATTGAAGAAGCGATCGAGCGGAACCAGGACTCTAAAGTCTTTGCTAGACATCTGTCTGCCAGAAAGAGTGTAGGAGCGTTTCCTGGACACCTGAGATTTTGAGTGACATTGAGAAGTTCTATGGGCAGCTGTACACATCATTGTTGAAGCCACACGCAAGTGTGAGTAACGATCCAAGAGAAAGTCTTATCCGACACTATTCTGATGATATACCGGACGTCAGTCTGAGCGAGATTAGAATGGCTCTCCAGCACAAATCATTGTTGAAGCCACACGCAAGTGTGATTAAAGATTCAAGAGCAAGTCTTATCCGACACTATTCTGATGATATACCGGACGTCAGCCTGAGCAAGATTAGAATGGCTCTCCAGCACCAAAGAAATGGCAAGGGCCCAGACGAGGATGGAATTACAGCGGAGTTTATGAAAGCCGGTGGAAAACCGGTACTTGAAGTCCTTCACAAACTCTTTGATTCGTCCTCGTCCTCCATGCTGGCACTACACCGGAGGCGTGGAGCAGAAGTGCGCTGGTCTTGTTCCTCAAAAAAGTTCTCTAGAACTAAAACTAGAGACCGATTTCCCTTTTGAGTCGCGTCTACGTGCTATTTTCGAGTCATTACGAATCGTCTCGGATGCAGACTCGACGACTTTCAGCCTCGCGAACAAGCCGGTTTTCGATAAGGCTTTAGCACCATAGATCATATACATACCCTTCGGCAAACTGTACAGAAGTCCGAGGAGTACAATTTACACCTATGTCTGGTGTATGTGGACTATGAGAAAGCCTCTGATTCCGTTGAAATTTGGACGGTGCTGCAGTCCCTTCAGTGGTGCCTAGGTGACTGTCGGTATATCGAAGTGCTGAAGTGTTTGTACAGTAGGGCTACGATGGCTATCCGAGTACAGAACCAGAGTACGAAGCCTATCCAACTGCAGAGAGGTGTAAGACAGGGTAACGTTATATCCCCGAAACTTCACCGCTGCATTGGAAGACGTTTTCAAGTTTCTGGACTGGAAAGGATACGGTATTAACATCAACGGCGAAAACATCACTCACCTTCGATTTGCGCACGATATAGTCCTTATGGCAGAATCGCTGGAAGACCTAAGCGCTATGCTCAATGATATATTGAGCATAGTAATTAGGTTAGGAGCAATAGTGCCTCCCAACCTATGTCTTAAGATGAACATGGACAAAACAAAGATCATGTATGACGTCCATGTCACATCTATGCCGGTAGCTGTTGGGAGCACTAAGCTCGAACTCGAAGTTGTTGACGAAGGTAAGACGTGGTCCTTCACTGCTGGCCGGATGAGAAAGCTCAAGGTGAAGCTATGGTGAGGGCTCGGAGTTTCTCTACGTGATAAATTTAGAAATGAGGATATCCGCAGAAGAACTAGAGTGACCGACATAGCCCAATAGATTAGTAAGCTGGAATGGCAATGGGCCGGCCATACAGCTCGAAGAACCCACAACCGATTCGGAAAAAAGGTTCTCCGAGTGGCGGCCTCGTACCGGCGGATGAAGTGTAGGGTGTCCCCCCACTAGATGGAGTGACGACCTGGTAAGACATGCAGGACGTTGATGGATGCAGGTGACTCAGGATCGTGCTTTGTGGCATTCCTTGGGGAAGGCCTATGTTCAGCATTGGACTTGTGAAGGGCTGTAATGTTGATGATGATGAGATATAATATGGCCCCTAGAGGGGCGCCGATGAAGTACTAGGCCAGACCTAACCTAGGACGCAGTCGACATTTAATCCGCCTCTGCCTCCGGACTTGATAGAGTAACCTGAAAGTGTACTTCGATGAGTGCTACTGGAACTCCTCGAAGAGTAGAATTAGGTGTGGCGAATTAGGCATCGTTTTGTTAGTTATGATGAGACCTTACCTCCGGACTTGAAAGAGTGATCTGAAGGTGTACTTCGATGACTGCTACTGGAACTCCTCGACGAGTTGTAATAGGTGTGCTGATTTTGGGCTCGTTTTGTTAGGTATGAATAGACCTTACCTCCGGACTTGAGTGAGTGACTTGAAAGTGTACATTTTTTTTTTTTAATTTTTTCACTTTCATATGGGCATTATGAGTCATACTCTTTTGGATTTTCCAAACTTTTTTAATTACAGTTTGACATAAAATTATCAGAAAGTTGGAAGTATAGTAATAAGGTCATTAGTGAAACATTGTGTATATAAACTACTTTAAAAAGTTTAGGTATAATCATGTTATACGTAATTTTTTAATGCGCTTAAGGCATGTATGGATTTACCAATAGTTTTTAATTTTTTTAATTTTGTAGAACATTTCTGTATTAGTGGTAAAGATTTGTCAAACACTTATAATTGTTTTACTAATAGTGAAAAGTACAAAAATTTCAAACTTTCCTTACTCGTATCTCCTCAGTTTCAAGGCACTCCCCTTCTTGCCTCAGCCAGTATCGGTATCCTCGGAGTCGACATATCGAGTGACGTGCAGTTTCGTGGTCACTTGGAAGACAAGGCCAAATTGGCCTCTAAAAAGCTTGGCGTGCTCAGCAGAGCGGGACAGTATTTCATGCCGGCACACCGTCTACAACTTTACAAGGCGCAGGTTCGGCCTCACATGGAATATTGTTCCCATCTCTGGGCAGGGGCTCCCCAGTGCCAGCTCCTTCCACTTGACCGCATCCAGCGCAGAGCGGCTCGAATCGTCGACGACCGAGCCCTTTCCGATCGGCTCGATTCATTGGCACTGCGAAGAGATGTTGCATCCCTTTGCATTTTCTTTCGCATCTACCATGGGGAGTGCTCTGAGGAATTGTTCGGATTAATTCCAGCCGCCAAATTTCACGAACGCACATCGCGGCAGAACTCCCGATACCATCCACACCATCTGGATGATTGGCGGTCCACCACTGTGCGATTTAGAAGATGTTTTCTTCCTCGCACGACTTCCTTGTGGAATCGATTACCATCAGCGATTTTTCCGGACCGATACGACTTAGGGACCTTCAAGAAAAGAGCGTACTCATTTTTAAAAGGCCGGCAACGCATCTGCAATTCCCTCCCTGGTGTTGCAGTTGTTCATGGGCGGCGGTAGTCACTTACCATCAGGTGAGCCGCATGCTCGTTTGCCCCCTCTCCTATAAAAAAAAACTCTCACTGACACACCTCTAGACAACAAAGGTCTATCCAATACAACTTACTACCTTCTAATACTAAATTCCATTTTTCCTTGTTCTTACTTACTACCCTCTACTACTAAATTGCATGTTTCCATGTTCTATTTTCGTTTTATCTTTAGTATTCTCAGTAAACACTCTAAAATTATAATCAGTCATTATTTTCAATGTTTTTTCTTTATAAAAACTTACAATATGGTGCCCAATTAAAACTTAGCTGCTTCTTTTTCAGATTTATGATCCAATAACAAAAATTGTTGCAAAGAACATCTCCAAATTTGTTGAAGCTGCATATGGTGGTTGTTTTAGAAGTGATGGAAGACTTTTAGTAGCTGGAAGTGAAGAAGCAGCTGTAAAATTATTTGATGTTCAATCTAAAAATGTGTTACGAGTATTTACTGGTCATACTGGACCTGTAAGTTACCTACTTAATTTTTTTTTTAATTTAAAGAATTTATTTGTGTATACAGTGTTAAATAAGATTGGGGGTTATACAGTAAATTGTATTTTATAAAACAACACTTGTCTTGTCACAGGTGTCCAAATATAAAGTAATAGACAACATATGCCCCTCTCCTGCTTTATCATTTCCGAAAGGGTTTTTAGACAGGGAAAAGTACTATAGCCTGTTGATATTCATATAACTATTTGCCTGTGCGAAATTGTTATTCAATATACCATTGTAAATACTAAAACCCAAGTCTTAAAGATTGTAACCCGCCATAGTGATAAGTCAAAAATCTCCAAAAGTTATTATTGTTTATATTTTCTGGTACTGTACAGATTTGTTTAATTATCAAATGTAATAGTAAGAATATTGAAAGTGATCATAAATAGATTAAAAACCAGATGAAGTCCGGCTATTTTGACATTAATTTATATGTTATTGGAGCTATGTTTCAAATTTAAACAGCTGTTAGTATGCTTATGATCGGAGCATGAGCATGCTGCAAGAAAACTGGTGATCCAATTGCACAATTTCTCAGGAAGCCCATAGGAAGGAAGTTTTGAAAGAAGCGCTTTATACAAACCATATACCTATTTTGATTGTTTCTGTGGCCAGTTTAGATTTTAAGACTTTTATCCACTTCAGATATTTTAGAATAGGATAAAATGAAACTAAAAATTCAACTCAATTAATAGAGTTATGTTAAACTTTCTCATAAGTCCATATATTTCTTGAGTATCGTTGTCACTCCCTTGATATGTGGTCGCTGACCTCTTCATCGTATTGATGATTACGTCATTATTATTTTCTTCGATGACTTTCTGAAAAATATATCATAAACTTTTTGTTTTGGGACTGCAATAACCAGCATCCGCACACAGAATGCAAGCAACAGCTAGTATATTTAATTTAATTTAATATATATCAACAAAACAGTCTTAAACTCTATGAACTCTTACAATTTAAAAATAAAGTTTGAAATTTATTATTACCTGATCCAGATACTTCAAGTGAGAATGGCATTCAGTCTCCTTTGACCCACACAGGAGTGTAATTTTTATTTATAAATACTCAACTTTTATTAGGTAGATCATCTGATATAGTGCCCTGTGTGTGCATGATTGCAAATGTCACATACGAAATTTGTCCTCAAAATTTGTTACGTTACAACTCGATGGTGTAGAGTTTCTTCCTTTATGTTTCCACAGGGAGATTTATTTGTTGGCTTCATAAATATATCATTTTTTAATCAAGACAAATTTCTCTATTTCTAACCGTCTTTGCTTTAGAATTTGCCCAGTTCGCATTTTCGCTAAGTTGACTTAAAAGTTAAAATAGTTTATTTTTAAATAGACTTGCGTAATGATTCTCTCTACCCATTCTTTTGGTAGAAAAGATATTAATACTTTTTTTTAAATCATCATTTCGTATAAAGCAATAATGAATTCATAAAATTGCTGGGGTCTTTTCATACTACTACCAGTACCAGTTATAAATTAAGTCCTTAACCGATCAGATGACATGGAACGTCTGTCGCATTCTTGATCTTTACTAGATGGTGTAATTCAAAGTTCTTTCCATCGGGCTTCATGGGTTATAGCAAGATGTGTCTAGCAATATAACTGAATGTTAGTGGTATATCGTCCAATCTATGAAGTAAGAACATGCCCTGTATCATTTTTTGTATGAGTAAAACTCGACATAAGTAAAACCATGCGCTAACCTCAGATGTAAATAATAATCACTTGGAAAATTTGACATAAACAAGGTTACGGCGGGTTGCGATCCCTTAAGACTTTTTAGTATCTATATTAGAAACGGTATCCTTTTTCGTAATCTTAATGTCCAGGGATTGTAGAACTAGAAGAGACCATTATGTTGCATTGGCAGACTTCACGTGCTCCCAAAATATTTTGATTTCTCAGACATGCATGTTTCCTCAATATGTTTACCTTCGTCGCCGATAATGTAGTAAATTAACATTTAAAATTCGGTTACCAAATTACAGTGGTACTAGCGGGGCTTGAACTTGGGTTGGAAATTAAATGAGCGGCTCCTCCTCCAGCTCCTAAGCTACCGCTACTTTACAGGCACCTAAATAATTACTGTACAATAGTTTGTTTTTATATTTTATGTATTGTATATACAGGGTTATTTTTCAAAGAGTAGCCAAATTTTAAACTTAAGTTCAAATATATAAATAATGATGTACCGTTATTGCAGTTTTTGAAAATACGAGTAAATAAGGCTTCTACTTGTATTTGAAATTATTCCAAATTGAATGTGATTTGTGGGCAACAATGTTTTTGCCTACCTATCGATCTTTGCGAATGTCTGCGTGTGCAGTAAAATCAGTTCAAATAATGCGTTACCACGCATCTTGAATTTAAAAGATAAAAAGGACAAAATGTTTGAGATTTTTTTAACTTAGCCTTACCCTTAACCGACGAGCGTGTATGCGTAGATATATGGATGTAAGAAAGCGAGAGAGATGTGTCAGGATCGTGCCAAATGGAATTCCGTAGTCTCTGCTTAGCCCTCTGGGTGACAGGCGTGAGTGTTTATGTATATGTATGTATTTTTTTTAACTAATTTTTCTTCACCTTATGCCTATATTACTTATTTTGTACCTTCTCTGCAAATTTGGCCGGTTATTGCAAAATAACCCTGTATATTGAATATATTTTAAAATCACAAAATAATTTAAATACTATTTCAGGTACATAGAACATTTTTTACGAAAGATCAAACCAAAGTTATTAGTTTTTCTGATGATAAATCTGTATGTTTGTGGGATATAGCTACAGAACAGAAACTCACAAACTTTTCAGAACATGCAGATTATATTAGAGCAGGTGCTCCAAGTCCAGTATCTCCGGATCTTATTCTGTCTGGTGGTTATGATCATGCAGTAAAACTGTATGACTGTAGGACAAATGGAACAGTTTTATCTGTAAACCATGGGTGTCCCGTGGAATCCACAATTTTTATACCATCTGGCGGTTTGTTCATAAGTGCAGGTGGGACTGAAATAAAAGTGTGGGACATATTTAATGGTGGAAAGTTATTAGCTAATATTTCCCAGCACCATAAAACTGTAACAACGTTAAGGTTGTCAAGTAACAGTAGTAGATTAATGTCTGCCTCTCTTGACAGGCATGTGAAAATATATGATATATCAACATTTAAAGTGGTTCATAATATTGATTTTCCTAATGCTATACTTAGTATGGCAATATCAGAAAATGATGATGTTTTAGCGGTAGGAATGATTGATGGTGTGATATCAATAAGAAAAAGAGAACAGCCAGTAAGGCATTCAGAAGAAAAAAAAGGGTTGTATAAATTTGCTCCAGATCACGTTCAAACATCCTCTGTTGATGTTATTGTGAGTAAACAAAAAATAGAGAAAAGCTCAAATTTTGAGAAACATCTTAGGAAAATGGAATTTGATAAAGCTTTATCAGCTGTATTAAAATCCTATGTTGCAGTAAAATATCCTGAAAAAACTATAGCACTAATACAAGAAATGCTTCGACGAAAAGTGTTGCATGTTGCATTGGATGGCCTGTCGGAAAAAGATATTGGTTCACTGCTAAGATTCTTTATAAAAAACCTTGGTGAAACAAGATTCACGAGAACAGTGATTGATGCTGCCAATGTTTTTGTTGATGTATTTGAGAATCAAATAAAAATGTTTTCAGAGCAAAATTTGTGGTTATGTAATTCACTTCAAGAAGAAATTAAACAAGAAACTGATGTGTCTAAAAGAGCTAGTGAGTTAGAAGGTGCTATAGGCCTTCTTTTGTCTGGAGCACAAACTAACACTACCAAGGATATATTAGAAATTAATGATATCCTTACACCATCATCTAAAGCTCAAAAAGAAATTGTTATTGATGTATAAATAGAAATAAATGTGTTATATACAAAATTAACCATATTTTCCTTCGTCAAACATGTAGTTTAATCTCAGATTATCAGGTCCAACAACAGCAACAGTAAATTTTTTGTGCAGTAAATCAAAGTAAGTATTACCTATTATCGTTCGTAATAAATGCCTTCCTATGCATATTAACATGTGCAGTGTGTTGTGTTGTGAGGTTAAATGGACTCCAATGTCAGAGACACAGCAACAAATAACAAATAATTTATAGTCCAAAATAAACTAGTGATATGCTTATACACAACTTGCTGTTATTGGGATTAAAACCAAGAACGCGCAGTGTACCCAATGCGGGCTAATAATTTTCCGCTCAACAGATGTCGCTAGTTGGGCCTGAAGCTCAGAGTTGTACAATCAGAGGAAATCCTAAAATAAGATGTTTTGTGTAAAATAAATAGTATTATTGTCACCTTTCACTCATAAGGTTGCCTTTTCCAATCCATAGACATCGCAATGGATGTGCAATGGCCATTAGCGAAACAAAAAACTGTCGATACAGACGTTGTCTATGATTATAAAAATTAAGGATATTCTTTAAATCGGTTAGGGAAATTTTAAAACAAAAACGTCTAATGTTGCGGAATTGTGCATTTCTAGACTGAGATGCAAAATAAAATTTTTACAAAAAAAATCCTGATAAGAGTACAAATTGGGCTAGAATTTGTACAATTGTACAAACATTTATACAACTTAAGGAAAACAATTATAGCAATGCGAAAATGGTGTTCAGTTCAAAATTATAGGCAGTGACAACAACCATTTCTTATGAAACAGACTTATGTACAAACTACATATTTAGTACTAGCACGATTTAATACAAGTTTCCACGGCATTGCACAAGTCATTATTTTTATCCTGTGTCAAACAATTTTTTTTGTTTTATCGTTCAATATCGTGATTAAAACAAAAAAAATTGAACAGGTGAAAGAGTTTGTGTATCTGGGTTCAAAGTTTACAAGAGATGGAAATGGAAAGTGTGAGAGTGATATCGAAAGAAGAGTGAATGCAGGAAACATGGTGAATGGAGCTTTGCACTCCTTTATGAGCAGTCGGAAGGTGTCTAACAAGGCTCGTTTGGCTGTGCATGAGTAAGTAGTTGGTTCCGACACTCATGTACGGAAGTGAAAGTTGGGTATGGCAGAAGAAACATGAATGCAGAATAAATGCAGTTGAGATGAGAGCGTTAAGAAGTATGATAGGTGTTAAACTGAGTGACAGGATAAGAAATAGTGAGATAAGGAAACGTGGTCTGAAAGAAGATTTAGTGACAAAAATTGAGAAAGGTATGCTGAGATGGTTTGGCCACGTCGAGGCGAAAAAAGTGTATAAGGCGAGTGTGAATGAAAGTGTTGGAAGGGGTAGACCTAGGCGGACATTTCAAAACCAAATCAGGGACGTCTTGAAAAAAGGCCAGGTCAAGAGTACCCTAAACCGTAGAGCATGTATGAAGGGAATAATGAAAGTGGACGAAGCGAAACAAGTATGTAAGGATCGTAGCAAGTGGAAAGAAGTGGTCTCTGCCTACCCCTACGGGAAAGAGGCGTGATTATATGTATGTATGTATGTTGTTTTTAAATGGTGCCTCAATCAAAATACATGGATACAATTCCTTTAATGTTGTTTATAGTACGACGTACGACGTAAATAAAAAATACATAGGTATATTGTGTAAAAATAAGTATATCGATGTAGATTGTTATTAACAGACATTACGCTATATACCTAGTCAGGTCATAAATTCTGTCACATGTTTAATATAAAATAATTGAAACAAGTTTATTCATTATGTAACCATTTATATACCAAAATGAACTTAACAAAACGTAGATTCTTATGACACTAAAGTTTATTCAAAATGACCTCCGTGATTTTGAATACAGGCCTTCAATCTGCGCGGCCAGTCGTCTATCGCAGCACGAACGAGGTCCATGTCAATATCGGCGGCTGCCTTAATCAAGGATGTCTTGAGTGACTCCAAATTGGGATGAGGCTTTGAGCACGCCTTTTCCTCCAAGTGTTGCCATATCTTGTAATCTAACGGATTCAAATCTGGACTGGAGGAGGGCCAGTCTTCGTGCCGGATGAAGTCGATTTCACGCGCCGCCAGCCAGTCTTGTGTGCTCTTCACTCTATGAGCTGGCGCCGAATCTTGTTGGAATACCCAGTGCCTGTTATTGAACATGGTATGAGAAACAGGTTCCACAAGGTTTGTCAGGACTGTATTTTGATACACAACTGCATTCGTTTTTACACCTTTCTCACAAAAATGTACCTCTGTTAAGCCCCAATAAGAAACTCCCAACCATACCATGAGCGAGGATGGAAAATGACGTCGTTGAACACGCGGAATACGGTTGCTCGCTTCTTCACTACACCTTATCATTTTGTTTGTTGTAGCTCTCTTCTACGGTAAAAATGTTTTCATCCGAAAAAAGAATTTCCCGATATTTTTTTCCCGCGTACCGCTTCAACAAAGCGCGGCATCTCTTCAGTCTCAGGTCCATTAGACGAGCATTCAAACGATGTCCTGTTTTTCTTCGATATGCCCGAAGCCCTAAGTCTTCATTTAACACCCTTTTCACCGTGGTTCTGCTTAACCCCATCTGAAGGGCCAACAGTTTCTGCTTACGTTTGGGATTTCTTTGAATTCGCGCCTTCACAGCTTTTATCACTGCTGGATTCCTAACAGACCTAGAGCGACCACTTCTTGACCTGTCATCTACACTAGAGTCTTCATTGTATCGTTTGATGGTACGATAAACGAATCTTTTGGTTATATTCAAATTTTTCAGTATGTCAAAAATTTGAATTGGCGCGTAACCGCAACGATGCAACGCAATAACTGCAACACGGTCTTCTTAAGCGTCCACTCCATATTTAAAAATGAGTAAAATTTTAAAAAGTATACAGTTTTATTTTCATGAACAATTCGAAGTTCGAATTCAATAAACTTTTTTGTGGCCAGCATTCTAAAAGAAAAGTTTTTACTGTGTGACAATACTTATGACCTGACTAGGTACTTAACATTGAGAACGAGTCTTATTAAATAAGGTCACTCATAATGCTACTATATACGGATGACATTTTTTTTGTAAATGAGAAAATACGAGTGTAATTATCACTCTCCTATTTAGCATATTACAGGGTGGGGCAGCATAACTTCCTTATTTGTAATGCGCGCCATTCGGTCAGGTGACATCGTAGTGGAGCGCTAGTGGTCTCGTTCGAGAGGGGGGGCTATAAAGTTTAGTCGAGACAGCTCAGTCGCCATAATGCGTTGGAACAGTGAGGAGCGTGCGTTTGCTGTTGAGGCTTACTTTTCGCGCGGATGTTCTGTGATTGCAACTCAGCGCGCCTTTCGAAATCGCTTTAATTTAGCCCCGTTGGCCCCTGTTCCAGACCGAAAATCAATTGTTATGTGGGTCACTACGTTTAGACAAACTGCAAGTGTGACAAAACGAAGAACTGGAGTTCCTCGGCCCATTAGATCACCTGAGAACATTGAGGCAGTCAGAGCTTCAATGTTGCGATCACCACGGCGTTCTGCGCGCAAACATGCATCTGCCCTTGGACTTTCCAGTCGTTCTGTGCGGAGAATTCTCCATGAAGACTTACATTTCCATCCATACAAGATGGCGACTGTACAGGAACTGTCAAAACGTGACTACGATTCTCGCAGGAACGCATGTGAGATTCTTCTGGATGTCGTTCCTGAGGACGCTATTGTTTTTTTTAGTGATGAAGCACATTTTCACTTGTGTGGATCCGTGAACAAACAAAACATGCGCTACTGGGCTGACACCAATCCTCGAGAATTGCATGAAAGGCCTTTGCATTCACCTAAGGTCACAGTGTGGTGTGCAATTTCCTCAGCTGCAATTATTGGTCCCTGGTTCTTTGAGGAAAATGAAGTCACAGTAACAGTGAATTCGGGCCGGTATGTAAACATGTTACAGGAATTCTTTTTACCCCGGCTGGATGCGTTGGACTTGGGAGACATTTGGTTCCAACAAGACGGTGCAACGGCACACACTGCAAGAGCATCGATGGCTGTTTTGAGAGAACACTTCCCAGAACGCCTTATCTCAATCAGGGGCGATTTGCAGTGGCCGGCCCGATCTCCCGATTTGTCCCCTTGTGACTTTTTTCTATGGGGTTTTTTGAAATCCCGTGTTTATGTGAACCGTCCAAGGACCCTACAAGATTTAAAGAACAACATCCAGGAAGAAATTGCCAACATAACGCCTGCTCTGCTTCAAAGAGTTATGACAAACACCAGAAATCGGTATACTCAATGTATAGAGAATAAGGGACGTCATCTACCTGATTTGATCTTCAAAACTAAATAAAACAAAACTTTAAGTATGTACTTACATTGTAAAAACCAAATAAAATTTTTCCGATTCATACAATGTGTTTTATTAGGTTTTAAAAAAAGGAAGTTATGCTGCCCTACCCTGTATATAGAGACCAAAGGTGACCACTTGACATTTCAATCTACAGTCATCAATTACATGCAACAAGGAGAGATGGGGATGCCTTCCCCCGCCGAAGTAAGACCAAAGTGCAGTCGACGGAGACCCGCTCCTATTTCTGGGTAGAATAAGGGGGCCTGCACGCTCGCTTCGCTCGCTCACTCGACACCGCCATCCCCTTCTAAACTAACCTGTTCGAGTCGGGATGCCCCAAGTCCCGAGCTCGCTTCGCTCGCTCTTGCACCAAACAACACACCAAAATGTAAACTTTTATAATGGGTGCTATTTAAAGGCTTGGCATAGTCTTTGCTAACCAATCGTGAATCTTGCTGATCAAGTAATTTTGCGGATTGACTGTTTATTAGGTAAACTCATATTATTGCAGGCTGCCTATTTATGATTAAATTACTAAACATTATCAAGATTATTTGCGAAACAAGAATTGCCGAATGTTTTTTTTATTTTTATCGCAAACAGAATCTTTGA